GTAGGGCGACCATTCAGAAGCTTGTCAACTGTAAGGAAGATATCGGGCTATTGAAACTGCCACAGCAGCACTCTACACCGATAAAGGTAGCCACAAGGCGGGGTATTCTTCCTTCTTCCTTTTATCCTGAAAACGTTTTTTATTTGCAAATTTAAATTATTGCCTGTGTTTTTGATAGTTTGAACTAAATTCTATGTATCTTTTTTTTTAATCTCATAGCTACTTTCGGAGCCATTCAAGTTGGATTTATTAAAAATGCTTGTAGCATAGTGACAACTGACAGTTATAACGATTAAAGTTGTAAATTGTCGAGCTATACTGTTCTTATGTATCTATTTCACTCTTGACCTTTGTACGTCTACTTTCTCAATATTAAGAGTACCTTCGTCAAATTAAATCCCAAACACATTCTTAGTACGTCCATTTAGATATTTTCAGTCAAAATTATTTAGTTGATAAATGTCTATGAAAAACGTTGATTTTAGTAGTGAAATCAAATGTATTTATCAAGAATTTGCAAAAAAAACAGTTGAATGTACTCAAAAATTGGCTGTTATATTCGATAAACAATCATTAACATATAATGAAGTATTTCATTATGTACAACACTTATTCAGTTATTTGATCAATCAACGTAGTGTTAAACAAAATCAAATTATCTATATTTTTATGGAACGTTCAATTGAAATGATGATTTCAATATTAACTATGTCAGCTTGTGGCTTACTCTATACAATGTTAGATTCAAATAATTCATGTCTACTGCCTACCGATTTAATTAAAGATAGAACAAAATCTCATGCATATTCGAACAAAAAATATATTTGATAATGCAAGTAATGATAATTTTCATCTGATTAACGTTGATTCGTCATTTCTTACTAATAAATGTAATTCAAAAATAATTTTTGATGATGAATTAAATATTTACCGAACGTACAAATGGTATTTGGTGATATTACATCAAAACAGGTGATTATTATTTTTTTCTTTGTATTTTTCGGCTAATGGCCTATATTTTCTTTTTAAACATCCAAATACAGAAAGTCAGAAGCCAATAAAACAACGGAGGTTTACCAACTGTCCTCCCACTTATGTTTGTAAAATGGAATAGGGTGTATAAGACCCTTTTCTGACCCAAAACATTTTCTGATTTTTTGCATTGGAATCATGTCACGGGATGCTCAGGAATATTCCCAGACACTTAGTTTCGCGAAATCTCTCAGTCACGTTTTTCAGGTCTGGCGGTTTCCAGAGGATTTCTCAAAAAACTTTTCAGTTTTGTTTTTTTCCAAATCCACCTGGTGATATGTAATCGACCACGCTGATCACGAATATAAGTATTAGAAGTGAGTGCTTTTTTTCAGTTTTTAATTTCATGCTGAGAAAATTCATTTTTGCTAAATCATGTGCATTTCGAAATGTTTAGCTCATTTCCATTTTTTGGTGAAAATCTCAATGATTTCTCAACGTAAAAATTCGAAAAAATTAAAAGTACGCGGATAGGATAGAGATACATATCACTCGATTCGTTTTTTGATCATGATTCCAAATATGATATGTTTATTCTAAAGAAGTTGAGGTCTATTGCAGAAAATTGAGAATTACGCGGAGAATTCCGACTTTTTCGCCTTTGATTTAACAAAAATGAAATTTCTCAGCATGAAATTAAACTCTGAAAAAAACCATACTCAGCATTTTTTCTGTTCATATGGCGAGCTGCATGATATATGAAACATGACTTCATCTTTTAAAATTGGTTTACAATCGGAACATACGACAGTTTCTAAACCTTCAATGAATTGGAGTTTTTTCTGGCCTCATTGTGTGTGAGCGACCTCAAAAACACGTTTTCTAGTTCAGGTTTTTATGTTGACTAAGAAAAAATAACTTAAACAATTTCAAAACATAAGGGGAGCTCAAAACATCAATTTTTTTGAAAAATTGCGGGTTTTTGGAGCACAGCCTAGTTTTCAGTTTTTCCAAATTTCCGCTCTACAGAAGCATTTTGAAAAGTTCAAACACGCATGTTCTGACTCAGCTCGGTTAGTCCTGTTCAACCATATATAAATTATTGAGAAAAAAAATAGTGCTCAAAGTTTGAATTGTGTGCGCCTTATATGGATATATATATATATATATATATATATATATATATATAATATTGTTAGATACATAATGCAACCATGATAATGAACCGAAATATTTTCCTTTAATTTTATTATGAAAACTGTCAAATGGATAACTACAGTAAAATGAAATATATCTGCCTGCTCCTGAACTGAAAATACATGTGTATATATAGTGGAAAGAAGAGAGAGCATAAGAGAAATTTAGTATGAACAAACAAAGACAGAATACGTAGAAGAATAAGAGAACAATGATAAAACAGCCTGGATAAGGAAAGTACAAAGCCATCTATGTTTGGTTTTCGTAGTGGGAGAAAACCCATCTTTCCTATTTTCTTTTTTCGTAGTGGGAAAAAACCCAGTTCTTAGTGAATAGCACATGACACTAGTGAAAAGATTTTCTTTATGTGTTTTAGTAAAATGTTATCAAAATACTTTTAGAGATATTTAGTTTTTGAATTTTTTCTCAATAAAGTTTTGAGAGAGAAAATGTTGTTTGATACACATTTGGTAGATCAAACTTTTCTCTTTCAAACAAAAAACAAGCGAAATCTCCAAAATAATGGAAAATATGAAGAAACAACGCTCAACATTTTGTGTAAAACTTATACATAGGCCGTTAATTCTAGAAAATTTTACTTAAATATATTCTTATTACATAAAAATATTCTAAAAGTTAATAAAAACTTTAATTAAATACATTGTGCAAACCTTGACGTTTTCAATATGATTTAGTAGTATTATGTCTAACTTTTTAAGAATTTCATTTCATCTTTGATTTATTGAATAAATATGTCTTCATCAAAGAATAACCGCCTATAGTTCATTATTCATCATGGTTACCTTATAGTTTAATCACTATCGATAAGCGAATGAATAATCGGATGTTAATTTCTAAATAAAATAAATTTTAGAACATTAAACTACTATTAATATCTCGTTATTGATCAAACCCTTCTACGTTTATTCAGTAAAATAGTTAGCAAACAAAACCATGCGTTATAGCTTTCATCACAATAAATCTAATATTACCTAATTCGTTTTCATCTGATCAATTTTTACTTTCTTTTGTTATGTCTATACTAAACACGAATCATGTTTCCATATTATGTATCGTTTATTTTTGTGGTAGAAATTTGAGATCATTTATTAAATGATGACTGATGTGATTAGAGACAGAATTAAACGGTTTGTTTGAATATTGTCAAAAAAGAACGGTTAAACTAGTTGATCAAAGCATTGAAAATCATGTCACAGAATAGAAAATATGAAAGTACCAATTTAAAAGTATTGAATTGTTAGTCATGTTAGTACTATTTTTACAATCGTCTTAACAGATATTCTCTAACAGATAGAAAACTTTTTTTTTTGTTTTACTCTCAATTTTAACAAAAAGTTCAGCAAACGAGCACGATATCAACGAATGCTTGCAAAATAATTTTTGCCTCTCAACCTGCAATGGCTCTCGAAATTCAAGAAGCCAAGCGGCGTAATACACTCCGCAAGTATTATAAAAAAGAAAAATTTTAAATCACGCGTTAGAAATGTTAAGATAGTTTTAAATCAAAGTAAAAACTCAATCTAAACGAATGTACAAAATGATTTTTTGTTTTTTATTTTTATTTTAAATTTTTTATCGTATTTAATAGTTTAAAACTGTCGCTTAAATAAAAAAAATCTACTAATTAAAAACTTGATCTTTTTCCGAACAAAAAAATAATTATCGTTCTACAATTAAGCATAGAAAAGAGCTGTGTGTTGCTAATGAAAAAAGGCTTTGGACTCAACTGAGATACAATCCATATTTTAATCAAGTATCTCAATTGAGAAACCAATATTTGTGCGTAAATATTCGTTTCTCAACTGAGATACAATTTTGATACGTGCGTTGAACCGTACAATTATTCAATGTACTAAGATCTATTATTCAATTCAGTTATGTTGATGATGAAAAAGATTTTCGTGGAATAAATGTGGTATGAGCGTCTCTCTGATTTTCTTTTCGAACAAATCCATTTCTTTTTGAAATATGTCTTATCACTATTTCACACTTATATAATTATTGAAGAATAGATCTCAGTTAACTGCACAATTGCACGATTCAACGCATGTGTCAAAAACGTGTTGAGAAATGAATATTTGCGCACAAATATTGTTTTCTCAACTGAGATACTTGATTAAAATATGGATTGTATCTTAGTTGAGATGTTACGCAACAAAAATATACTTCTTAAGACGTTTTTGATAGATTCAATGAATTAGTTCTAACATCAAGAATAAATGTCGTATTGATCTGTACAACGTCCCATTTTGAGGAGAACACTTGTCCATACATGGTAATATTGTATGTCAAAAATATAGACTCGATTTTGCAAAACTGTATAATCTTGTAGAAACTCATGTTTTTAACCGGTTTGAAAAAACGTTCAAGAAAACATCTCATTCAAAGACATACTTACTCTGTATTCTGAAAAAGTATATATATGTACTAACCTAAATATGTGTCTTTATCTTAACTGGCTACTTTTATCTGATTTCACTGGTTAGCAGTTCAAAAGGGAAATTTTGTCTCAATAAACAAACATAGAGTCACCTGTCGATATATCTACTACAATTGTAATATAGTTTTATCATAATATTCTAGAGCAGTCATCCTTTTGATAAGTATTCACTTAAATTAGCAAAAATAACCCTTAATTACTTTTTATTCTGAGCTTAATTAGAGCGTTTAAGACAAGTTTATATCATCATTTTTAGAAGGATATAATATATTGTAAGACATAGATAGATGTCTAAACAATTTGGTTATGAGATATGTTTTAAAAATACAAAATTAGGAGGAAAAGACTTTATAAGCAAAAAATTGTTAGTTTAACTTGATGAACTCGATGTGGCATGTTCTGTTTCTTCAATATCAATATCTTCATCATCTATATCACTATGTTGAGGAGAATCACTTGTTCGATCATGAGATGATGATGATTTGTCTGTATCTTTTTTTAATCGTCGATGTTTAGCTCGTCTATTTTGAAACCATGTTTTTACCTATAATAAATAAATTAAATCATGTTAAATATAATATAGATGAATTTGTCATACATACTTGTCTTTCACTTAATTGTAAACTTTTTGCAATTTGTTTTCGTTCAACTGGTGATAGATATTGACTGTTTTCAAATTTTTTTTCTAATTGTATCGTTTGTTCGGCTGAAAAACGTATTTGTCCACCTTTTCGTCTTGAATTACAACGATATAAATAGGGCCAAAATGAAAGATTACGTGGACTGTTCAATGAATCTATTTAAACAAAATAAATAAAATAATATTATTAATACGTGGAGAGTTGATCGATATACTTCTAGAAGCAAATTATTCAAACTATATTCATTTGAGTCTGTTCTTGAAGTATTTTCTTACAATTTAAAATGTCATATTTGTACTACCTATACTCTTCGTGGCTATATGTGATTAAATTTTTTCAAATGTCTTTACAATACTTATTTTCTATAGATAAAGTGTGACGCAAAAGTCCTGTCTCATTCAGTATTTTCTCAAGGTTGATTGTCAAGTTTCAATCTTTTTTTTAAAACAAAAACCTCATTTAGTTCTCTACACAAAACATATTGAACATTTTTTTATATACAATAATTGATTATTGAACATTTATAGTCTTCTAAACAATGATCCGTTCTGATTTTTTTGTACAAAAAGATTATAATCCAAAGTGATGATAGTATAAAACAGAATAATTTCTTATTCAAAGATGACAACATAATAAAATATTTATAAGGCTAGCAGCAATAGGTGTGGAATGAAATATTTTTTCTTCTTCTTATTTATTAATCGATCATCAAATAAATTAACTATTTGTCACTTTACTGCCATATTTTTGTACATTCACACTATTTATTCTAAACGGATTATCGAATGAAACTCTATTGATTATTCTCGCTTCATAATCTGTATTGATTTTCATTTTTCAACAGGTTAAAACTTCTGATAAATCACTCACAATAAAAAAATATTTACATTCATCATATTATTTTAGAAATATATGTTTTTGAATATTAAACATTTCGATAATAGAAAAGATATTTTGTGACTTAATTCAATTTCAAAAAACAATGTAGAATAGAACGTTATTACACAATCAATAGGAGTTTAAAAATGTAATAAATGATATAAAATTATAAAGCAATTATTGACTACTATTCAAAAATAAATTCTTATTTTTATTTCACAAATTTAAAGTTAATTCTTGAAAGAAAAAAGAAAAACTCACTGTAAAGAGATTAAAATAAAGATGTTTTGATTACTATAAAAATCAATTTTTAAATTTAATAATTAACAAAATGAATATTCTTTTACAAAAATATTTTTTATATTCATATGTATGTTACAAATGAAAGACTTATTTGATGGCATTTAGAAAAAGAGTTTAAAGTAATCAAATGTGAAAGGTAAAATGTTTATTGAGAATACTTGATAAAACTGCATTATAGCACTGAATCATCACTTTTTACAACTGTCTACTTATTGATATTTGTATCTTTAGATAAATATACTTGTACAAAACAAAAAATTTGATCGAACTTGTCAAGAGCATCATTATTGGTGCAAAAAAAAAAGAAATGATCTGTTGACAAATATTAGGAGCAATAATACTTAACCGAATACAAAAAATAATTTGTCTATAAATATATACACAGTTAATGGCTTATACTTATAAATCACGTGTACAATATATTACTATTATTTCACTATTTTATGGATCATTATACGAGGTAAACTAAGATGATTTCGATATTTATTAAAAATCAGTGGGAAAATCAAATTGTTTCATGGGCATAAAAACAAATTTGACGAAGACCTATAAATTAGCCATTTTTAATTCTAATAAATATTATATAGTAGGAATTCGAAAGTGAAAAACAAACTACTATACTACTACTGCAATTGCTCTTTTTTTTCTATTTTTGTTTCATGTACATATAGAATCATCGACATTTCACTTGAAATATTTCGTTCATAAATAGTTAGTCAGAAAATAAAACTCTATATGTTGGACAAGAAGCTTTAAGTCTTCAATTTTTCGAGAATCATTTGAGTTTTAAATGATGTATAAAGTATAAAATGATACAATGAGTTAGAATACGTATAAAAATGCTAGAAAATGTTAAAGAAATCTTGATTTGGTAAATGATCAAAATGAACAGACAGATGGATTTCTATTTAATCGGAAACATGTTATTGAAGTGACGGAATGACGGAAAAGAAATTTTTGATAACGCATCCTACCTTTCCATTCATGGTGTGCTTTTTCTTTGAGTATATTTGTTTTATTTGTGCCAGCATATGGAGATTGAGAACGATGTTTTTTTAAAATTTGTTGATGATGATGATGTATTGAATCAGGAATATTCGTTGAGGATTCACAAGATGTATCTTGTTGTTTTAGTTGTTGTTGTTGTTGTTGCTGTTGTTGAGCTACTTTTGATAACATGTGTACTGCAAGAGATGACCACATTGGTAAATCAATTGGTGGTGGAGTCGAATAATGATGCGTATAAACGGACGAATCATGGTTATTACCACCATTACATGTCTTGAGTATATCATCGATACGAAATGAATTATGTTGTTTTAAATTAATAAATGATTGAGAGGAGTATATGGAACAATTTGTCATTATTTAAGTTTTAATAAGTGAGCTTGTTTGTGACCAATGCTACGGTTTTTTATCACTTACGAATGAATGAGATGACAATTGAGAGATTATTCACTACTCTTCACGTAACAAGTCAAAAAAAGAAAAAGAAGAGAAGAATTAAAGGTATATTGAATATTATACACCAATCAAGAGAAGAGAGAATAAAAAGGTCAATAGGAAAATATTTCTTGTTCGTTGAAGTAAAGATCAGATACGTGGAGAGAACAGATCTGTATCGAACACAAAAAAAAAAGAACGAATAGATATGTTTATTTAAGGTTTTTGTGTGTGAGAGAGAGAGGAAAACACACACACATACACCTGTAGAAGAAAAATACGTTTTATTTGCTGAGCAGACATTGATACTTGATAAAATAATAATCGTATATAATCAAGAGAGGTGAAATACGTGTGGATTGAACGATGAATGGTCGATAATAAATGAGAACAAGAAAAAAATGATATAAAAATTAGATCCAGCACGCTTTTGATTGGTCGATGTATAGATATAAATACCCTCTTAATACATGAAAAGTGATATAATGGTAAGATGATTAGCAGACAAATTCGCTACCAATATAGGCTGTTCATTTTCTATCGATTAAAATACAAAATCATTAGATAAAAATTTAGTAAGTGAAACTCGACATTTTCCTAGAGAAATAATTGAGTTGAGTACACTTTCTTTGGTCATTATTTTGATTTTAAAAATGTTTTATATGAAGAATGTTCTCGGAAAGAATACATATGCTATAATATAACAATATAGACGGTAAGAAAAGTTCTGATGTATACACAATTTACAGAATAGTGGACGTCAAAAACCGTCTAGGATCGAAAAGAGAAAGAATTATCAAGAGTACACATATTACAAAGTCTTTCTATTATAACGACACAATTTACTATCATCAGTTACATATTAAAACTGAAATTATATACAGTCTATTTATAAATGATCTTCATATCAGACAGTTCTATTTTGATTCCATCTACATCTGTCATAAAATAATTATTTACACTTTAAGCGTTTTAATCTATGTGCTTCAATTCTATCTCCAAAAAAAACGGCATCCTGAATACTTTATCTCAGTTGATTTTAAATTGGTAAATATTCCGTTTTTTTTTGCTACATCAACATTTGTCGTAGCTAAAATGAATTAAAAAGATATTCGAGATAATTTAAAGTTTAATTTTTGTTTTTGTACATAAGCAGATATGCATTATAATCTTATACAACAATCACAATGCTATACTATACAGTAGGTATATACAAACATATCTAGAGAATATAACAAGTTTAAAGAGGACATATATTGTTCTATTATCTTTCTGTAGTTGTTTGAACTAGAATTTTTCAAAAAATAGTCTTATCTTCAATATAGGTAAATGTATTATAATCGTTACTTTATTTGATTCTAATGATTTTTCTTCTTCTATCTGTAGGTGATTTTAAGAGATATCGGTAAATTAAAGAACAAACATTTCATATTTTAAAAAGAGAGTAAAATATAAGATATAAACAGTATGGTAGCATCTTGAATCTATCATTTTCATAGTTAAACACTTGAAAATATGATCGATTTTAGTTGATAATATGAAAATCTCAATCATTTGAAGTATCTACAAGTAAAATTAATGTTAAGACAATACTGCCTAAATTGAAGAGGTTTCTTCTTGTTATTGAGTAATAATAGTTTTTCCAATATAATATTTAACTAATAATGATTAAGGAATTATAGCAAATATGGACGATGGCAGCTAAATTCCTTGTCTATTACCTTGAAACAGATCAATATTTGTTTTTTCATTGTCTGTTCTGACAAGTCCATTCTCTTTCATTTCATTATCGTTCTCTATATGATCACAAAATAAACATTCTGAAACTCCCTTCTCAATTTGATTTGATTCCATTGTATAGAATTTGTTAATATATTAAAAATGATGAACGTGCGTATTGAAAATTGATTGTGTTAATGAGAATGATGGCGAGAGATTAAACGTAACACAAAACTGATCATGTCAAAAAGCTTTATAACTGTCTGTTGTCATTTACACCTATTTGATGGTGAGGGATTATTGATACACACACACATACACACAGACCTATAACTAGAGACATATAACAAAAAGAAAAAGGAAAAAAATAATATATTGTATTGTTTGATGATATTTTGTAGAGGCGGGTGTATAAATGACAGGGACACAATCACGAGCCTCAATCAAAAATTAAATGTCTGATAAAAATATATGAACTTAGCTAATCCTTTACACACAGGTGAACATCTCAGACGTAAAAAAAACTGCAAAATGTGCGTTGTCTAGAATGAAATAGATGCGACCATCGAAGCTCACTGAATATGAATATTGTGGGAAATCATTTTTTATTGAACGTTTTAAAAAGAAAGTTGAGAGTTATTCGTTGTTTTTTCTTGTGGTATCTTTTCTTGTTTATCTCGTCTTGATTATGATGAATGATGTGATCGACATAATGTTTTAGTTATTTATTAAACGTATTTTCATTGATTTTTAATTGTTCATCAACTTTATCCCTATTCTCTTATGTTTCTTTACCAATATAGACATAAATTTATTTCCTGATTTCTTATAATTCAAAATTTTCTTCTTCTGTTTGATTCTATCAGAAAGAACCCAAAACTACTCCATGGATATTATGAAACAAAGATAAAAATCGTCCAAAATATGTATCATATATATGATTTCTCACTTTTCTCGTTAAATCTGACACGAAGATTCTTAGATTAAATTATGGCCTACAAAAGGCAAGAATTTATTTAATGAAATTCACAAAATAAATTATTTTACATCTTATTACCTACAATGAACAACAAAGCACTAATGTTTTGAAAAGTTCATTTTGTTTCTCTAATACTAATAAATAATGCATTTACACAACAAATCAAAAGAGAATAGAATAACGTATGAAAAACGAATTAGATGCTTACATAGTATCATGTACATGATTTAATAGATAAAAATGCTGACATTCATTCTTTCAAGAATGGTCTTTACAGTCTCGATTCGTCCCTAATTACTCACTCTCAATTTTAATGTTATTTAATCTTACAAAGCTAATTAGAGATGAATCGACAGAACATCCTAAATTGTACAGCATGCTAGAGTTGTATGGGGTAATTCCGGCCACTTGTATAAAGTTTTTTAGCATTTTACGTATTTCTAAGCCGTTTTTAATCGAAATTACACCAGCTTGAAGCTCTTCTTCTCTTCTACCTTTCATACCAATTGGACATTATTAGCACCTAATTTAATGAAGTTAATTAAAATACAATAGGACATGGTTAAATTTCTGATTTTTTCATTTTTTTCGATTGGGGTTACTCGAGCCTGTCAGCTATTTTTCTTGAAGTAATTCCAGCCGGTCCATTCAAATACATGGAGTTTCCTGAAACAAACCTCTGGTGCTTTTCACAAGTACATTTCTGACATACTCTTCAGATAAAAGATATTCGTCATGTCATTACCTACAACATATGTGAAAATTGCATCTCAATAGCTCAAGATCA